CCTTTCTACCCCACCTTCGCTCCACCCTCCCAGTTTCGCCACTCTTGCTACTGGTCCTGAGGGGTTTATCTGTCCTGGATTCCCTTTGTTTCCAGTTCCTATCTGTACCAGTGTACATTCTCTGGTCTAGCCGGATTTGTAAGGTAGAATTGAGATCATGATAGTAGGGGGTGGGGAAAGCATTAGAGAACTAGAGGAAAGTTGTATGTTTCATCGTTGCTATGCTGCACCCTGACTGGCTCATCTCCTCCCCGCGACCCTTCTGTAAGGGGAATGTTCAGTTGCCCACAGATGGGCTTTGCGTCCCCAATCTGCACTCACCCTCATGGTAAGATTTTTTGTTTCCTTGATACCTGATACCTGATCCCTTCGACACCTCCTGATCACACAGGCTGGTGTGTTTCTTCCATGTGGGCTTTGTTGCTTCTGAGCTAGATGGCCGCTTGTTTACCTTCAAGCCTTTAAGACCCCAGACGCTATATCTTTTGTTAGCTGGGCACCATCAGCTTTCTTCACCACATTGGCTTATGCACATATTTGTCTTCAGCATCGTGTCGGGAAGGTGAGCATCATGGAATACCAGTTTACTAGAACAAAGTGTTCTTGCATTGAGGGAATACTTGAGTGAAGGCCCAATGTCCATCTGCTACCTTAATACTAAACCTATGCATATACATATATTTCCCCATCGTCAAAAACAAGTATATTTATGTGCATACCTGTAAATAAGTATGTAAATGAGTATATTTATGTATATACCTGTATTTAGACATCTATAAATGCCCTTTACCTCCTAGTTCTTTCCTCTATTTCCTTTTATTTTCCTCTTGTCCCACTATCATGCCCAGCCTTCATTTGGGTTTCAGTAGTTTCTTGCTCAAGCCCTACCAGGCCTCTTACACCCTCCTCGCCACCAATTTTGGATCCCTTGTTCCCTTGTCCCTGAGTTTGTTAACACCTGGAACCTTCGGTCCCATTGTTTTCTCCTCCAGATTGTTTATCCAGGTGTGCTCCCTTCTTGATTCGCTCCATTTTGAGGGGTTCAGACTGTGCTGCTTCCCCCAATTGTGACCCCAGAAATGTCCTCTGTTGCAGTCTGCTCCAGTAAGGGTCAGCGTGCTGTCATCTTTGCCCCGTCCCCTCTGTGTCCCATTAGCTCTCTGCAGACACCTATAGATGCCAAGTCATGGGCTTTTAAAACTAATTGCTACTCATCAAAGTAGGATGTGGAACATTTTCTTTGTGGATTATTTTGTACCAGTTGACCTTGATGTCCATTGACCTTGATGTCTCTCGATGGGGCACAATTTAAGAAAATGGTGGTTTCAAGATGAACTTGAAGGTTCTTGCCAATTCCCTTCATGACCAATGTAGCCAGATTTCCTTTTACCTTCTCAGGGTGTTGCTATGCTACTATGAATCAGCCTCAGCTGTAATGTGTTCAGAATTAATTATCTGGTCGAAACAACTTGGCATTCAGGGCTACTAAACAGCTATATTTTTGGAAAAGAACTGGAGAAAGGTGTAGGACTCACTTATTTAAAGTTGGAGATATTTTTTCCCTCCTTATTTGAAGGAAATTCATTTTATTTGCCCACACCTGAAAACTTGGTATTTTTTTTTCTTAACTGGTGTTCCATACTAACTTTAATCCTTTGGTGCATTCCTTGCTAAATTTATCTCATTTCTGTTAGCTGGGCGTAATTATCCCCTTGATCCATTTCAGCCTTGCTTTTGCTTCCATTTTGACTAAGTAATTTGCTGGCTTATTTTGTTTTAAATATATTGCTACTGAAGCATTTGAAGAAAGGGCAAAACAAAACAAAAAAAGAAAGGAAAAAACAACTCTTCTGGTTGTTGTTATTTCTGTTTATATTACTTGTGACATATAAGAAAACAATATTCCTGTTTATACCACTGGCAGACATTGACTAATACTTTATCTATGGAATCAACTACCTTATACTTTATTTATAGTCTAGTTGAACAGCTTTGTTTCATTATTCAACTATTAGTTTTTTGCCCAATTTCTTTGATTCGTAAAGTGGGAGCTGTACAGTAAGCGCTCTGTGAAGAGGGTTCATTTTAGACTGGGGAAGAGTAGGGCTACAGAATGATGAAGACCAGATGGCCAAACATGGAGAACACCAGTTTAAACACTAAAACACCAGTTTAAACACTAAAAATGTAATTAAATGTGAAAAGACACATGAAGTTTGAAATATCCCACCTCTTTATTTTTGAAAGGAAGCACTTCTAAAGTATATTTCTTAGGTTTTGTAATTCTTTCCACTTTTTTGCTTTAAGGAATTTCAAACATAAAAGTAGAATAGTATAAAACGTCATGATTATTAACATACTAGCAGTCTTTTTTCATCTCCACTTACATTTATTCACTTCTTCATCTTATTTTGAAGCAGATCTCAAATAACTTATAATTCATTTAATCTGAAAATATTTCAGTAAGAATCTCTCAACTTTAGGGGTTTTTTTGTTTGTTAAACACAACCATAGTACCATTATGTTTTAGTACAAATTAAGTAAACTTGTTCAGGGCTAACCTTGTACTGTGTGTCTTGGAGATCTACCAGATGTCAAAATAAAAGATTTATCATAATAGTTTAGTTTTATTTATTTTTGAAGTGCAGTATCTTACAGAAGGACCGTGTTGATGTTTTATCTGAATGACACACATTTCGAGTTGGAGGGTTTCTCTGTTCACTTAGAGCAGAGTGGCCATCTCATTTGCTCTTCAGTGCATTTGGGGAGTGAAGGGCAACCGACCAGCCATTGTGCGGGGATGGGAAGTAAAGGATGGCAATGCTTTAGGCACACGGAGACATAGATCTGAGTAGCGTTTCTCTGAAGGGAACGAGTAGTTACTTGAGTTGTGAAGTGCCTTACTCGTCCAGGTACTCTACCGGAACAGGACCAGTGAGATCTGCACTGGAGGGTGGAGGTTGAGAGATCCCACAGAGCAGGTGCCAGGTTGGCAAACTTGGGTCCCAGATCGGTAGGCTTGGGGCAAGAAGAGGGCAGAGTGAAGAGAGCAAGGTCTGCCAAAACAGCATATGCCTCAAGGAAGCTTCTCTTTCACTTGATTGATCAATCACATTGCACATTACATTGTGGAAAGTCCCCGCACCACATCATGACAGTGCAGCAAATAGCGGACCCCCTGGGAGCCATAGCCCAGCTCTGTTGGCCTGTAAAATTAACCGTCGCAGTTAGGTGGCTACTGTCACTTTTCACTGAGTTGAGTAGTTGAAAATGAGTCAAGTGGTAGCTAAGAACATGACGTAACAACCATACTACTTTCTTTACCTTGTGGCTAATAGAAAATGATATAGATAAAAAACCTTGAAATGCCTGATTTCAAGATTTCAGCTTCATTCTTAATTACTCTTACATAAAACTAGAAGTGATTCTACAAGATATATATATCACAAATTAAGGCCCTCCTTTTAAATTTATGATTGGTAGACTTATACCCATTAGCTCTCAGGGGCTCTAAAATAGGCTGTGGTATAAATTAATTAAATCATGAGATAATAGCCCATTTTAAAATGTCAAAAAGTTTTTCTGTCTATGAAGTTAATTGTTAATGCGTAGAATATACAACTAGATCTTCCACATCTGCTCTTCTCAAGTTTTTGCTCTGTTACCACAGCAAGTTACCCTAATGTAACGTCTATTAACAGTACTCTTGTTATTACTTGTAATAAGTGTATTAAAAAACCACCTTTTAAGAATGAAGTATCATCTGATCAGGAATTGAGATAGACTCCTAGAACATGCTTATTAGGTAATGTATTTCTTTTTTAAAATGATTTTATTGGGGGCTCGTACAACTCATCACAATCCATACATACTTCCATTGTGTCAAGCACATTTGTACATTCTCAAAACATTTCCTTTCTACTTAGTAGGCAATTTCTTAAAAGAAATAAGTGCCTTTTTAGTGCTGTGATATCTTCTTTAACTAAAATTTTGTTTTCAACACTTTTTCCATAGCTAGATAGACATTCCATACCATCTATCCAACTCCAGTTTGTTATCTCACTTTTTGCATAGTACCTAATCGGCTTCAACATCTTTCATATTTATATATATAACATATGTAAGTATTGTGTTAAACTGTATCTTCTAGAGAAACAAAACCAAGAAAGTGTGTGTGTGTGTGTGTGTGTGTGTGTGAGAAACAACTCACTAACATCAAGTTAATTCCTACTCCTAGCAAGTGACCCTATAGGACAGGGTAGAACTGCCCCTTTGGGTTTCTGAGACTAACCCTTTATGGAAGTAGAAAGCCTTGTCTGTATCTTGAATAGTGACTGGTAGTTTCAAATTGCAGGCTTTGGGGTTAGCAGCCCAAGGCATAACCACTACACCCAAGGACCAACTCAAGGCTATGGGTCAGGTGCTGACTAGAGCCCTCTGCAGACTCACACAGCTGCCGGTTGATGAAGCAGGAAGGTGCAGTGGGCATCAAGGAGCTTGTCGGCCAATGTGGGTCCAGGGTCTGCCGGACGATGGCGAGGCACTGACGCTCCCAGAGTTGGCAGGTCAACTGGGCCCAGAGCCAGATGCAGAACCCAGAAAAGCAGGAAGGCAAAGGGGGGCAGTTCTCCTCACTGTCCCTAATAAAAAGGCCACCCTCTCAAGGAGGCATCACCAGGCTATGACCTGATTGATAGGTGGGACTCTGCCCATCCCTGCACACAGGTGCGACAAGTTGCATAAACCCTAATCCTCACGAGGGTATATTTGTATCTTTTAAATGGCTTTTAACTTTGGCCCTCCTTAAGCTTCCAGTTGATCGTGTATAATATAGTGAGGGCATCTTGAAAATCCATGCCCCCCCCCCCACATGCACATAGTCCTGGAACTGTGGATATGAAGTCCTGGTGGGTTAGTAAGTTTAATTTGTCATAGAAGTGTGCTGATGGTTGGTCTCTATATATTTAAGTCATTTTAAGTTAATTTTTTTCTCTTTCTAGCGGTCCCCTTTCCTCCAACCCAACGGCTTAGCTTGAAGGACGTATTTGAAAATGGGAAACCTAAATCTGAGCTTTTGAGAAACCATTTGGTAAAGGAAGGCCGAGTGGAAGATGAAGTAGCCTTAAAGATAATCAATGATGGGGCCGCCATCTTGAGACAAGAGAAGACGATGATAGAATTGGAAGCTCCAATCACAGGTAAAAAAGAGCACATGAGCCACAGTAGCACACACTGAGGCTTCAAACAATTCAGTCAAGCGGAATGAACAGAATGTGGACTTTTTCCTGCAAACTTTTTGTATATTTTGAGCTAATATATACAAATAATCAACTAAATTATGAGACAGTCTTATGATTGCTTGGTATGTGTGTTCATTAAATAAATAAAATTTAGAATGTTTCATATTTCCAGAAGGAACTGGTTAAGCACTGGACTGATAATGGCAAGGTTGGTGATTCCAACCACGCTGGGAGAAAGATGTGGCAGTCTTTAACGTCTGTCAAGATTAGAGCCCTGGAAACATGTCACTCCAGGGCCGCTATGGCTCAGACCAACGTGATGATCATGGGCTTTGGGTTTTAATATTTCTAGAAGGATAGTTTCATATAGATACAATACATATGTTATAATTATAGAGAAGACCAATTGGAACTGATTTGTTAGAAGCTCAGCTGTGATTGTGGTTGGTGTAAGCGGCCTCTGGAGAGGCTGCCAGATTTTTTGAAGGCATAAATGTTCACATTTTCCCATGTCCTTTTTTCCCTAGTGTGTGGTGACATCCACGGACAGTTCTTTGACCTTATGAAGTTGTTTGAAGTTGGAGGATCGCCTACCAATACTCGTTACCTCTTCCTGGGTGACTATGTGGATAGAGGCTATTTCAGTATAGAGGTAAAAATCCATTAAATCCATCTATAGGAACCATTGTCTTGTCCTTTCAAAAAGATTCTCTCTCCATTTTTAGTATAAGAATTAAAATGAGAACACTGGGAGATTTCAGAAACCTTGCTACTTTCAACAATTCAAGTGCATTGAATAATGAGGCTCCCCTTTTTTTAACTAACGAAAAGGCAAATGTGTAGGTTATAGTAACACAGCTTTGCAGATACCTATTTACTAGCCTTTCCTCCTTGAAGATACTGTACAGCTACAGAAATGAAATAAATTCTGTTTTACTCCAAATGAGGGTTGTGTAAGCCGACCTTATTTGTTCTTCTCAGTTCAGTCGTGGCCAATAAAGCAAACCAAATGGACCTGAATTTGTAAAACGTGGGTAAACCAGAATCATAGTTGGTACAGGAAAAATTATGGGCCAGTGCCCTGGTAGAAACACAAACTCCTTAGAAAATGAGGGCAGGCTGTGCATTGCATAGCAAGCACCTTTCTTCACAGGCGCAGTAGGAAGGAGCAGTGCTCAGCTCAAAGACTCGGCTAACCCAGCTGTTTGGGGTGTGTGTCACTTTCCCCAGCCCTGGCGATAATCCAGTTCTACCTCAGGCTCGGAAAAGGGCTCACTTCCATGCCTTTTTGGAGTCTCTGAAGTCAGGACTTTGTGCTGGAATTTTTCTCACTTGGTTGTCATTCAACTCCACCCATGTATTTTAAATGGGTCTGTCAGAGGTTCACTCTGTCAGCCACTGCTGAACTGGTTTGAACCTCCTTGCTGATTGTAGAAATCATCCCTGCTAATAAGAGCTCTCATAGTAAGCAGTCAGATGCTTGTAGGAAAAATTAATAATAATCCAGTAATGTTTAAAATCACAGTTAACTTGGAAGTAGTTTAAATATGGAATGATGAGAAGAAAAGGTTTTAGAATTAAAAGCTATAAGCTTCATAAACTTAAACGACCCAATGCAACGACTTAAGTACCATCGAACCACAGCACTTGCATATTTATTATCTATTCATTCGACTATATGTATTTGGCAAATACAAGAAAAATTGCTTTGAAACACGGTGGGTAGTCTGATTTGTAAGGAGCATGCGGCCCAGCATAAGCAGGGCATGAGAAACTGAAGCTGCTTGCTGGTCTTTCCGGTCTCTCTCTGACATGCCCTGGAGGGTGGGAGACTCACTGCACTGAATGGTGTGATTAAAGGCTTATTTTTGTAAAGTAGCTTCCCTCCTTAAGCACATGTCACAGGCCCCTAACCAAAGAAGCAGCAATTGTTCCAATGTTGGAGGGAAAACAGTGGCCCAAGAAAGAATCTTTCTCTCTGTTCAACAATTTAAACGAATGAATCAGAGAAGTTGAGCGTAGCTGCCAGTGCCTCAAATTCACTAGAATCTAATGTGGGGACCAAGATTAATGGTATAAACTAAGAAAAGAGTACATTTTCCCTACTGCTGATTGGAATTGCTCTCTGTAAATTACTACTGTCTCTAAATAGGTACTTGGAACATGTCATTGAAAAGCGTCCCTATTCCTAGTCACACCGTATTTCAATAGAGAGCCAGCACGATGGATGCTTGAGAGACACATGGGATGATTACTTCTTTGTGTGTTCTACTCTGTTAGCATGAAGAAGTTTTAGAGGTTGAAGAGAATATAGAAACTTACTGAATTTTATTTTTTACTTAATTTATCTTTTGAAGTAAATTTCATTAAATGAGACAGTTTTCTAAAATGATATGCATCATGCCATGTTGTTGTCTATGTTTTCCTTGATGGCTTTACACAGTTGTTTTTCATTCAACAATTTCTACACAGATGGTCCGGTGACCTGGGTTACGCTCTTCGCACGGTGTAAACATTCTCATTATTTCTGTCAGGTTGTTCGATCCCCATTCACCTCCTTTCCTGTGCCCCTGCCCCCATCTTTTTTTAAATAGTTGACTTTTGAATCTCAGAGGTATTTTTTAAAGGAACTGATATTCTTCATTCTGTGAGCCAATCTCTCATTGAGCGACCTGGTAACCTTAGAGGCTGTCTCAGGTCTACGTTTAAAGAGCATCTCCGGTTCATAGTTTTGTATAGTCCTAAAATAAGAATCCACATGATAGCTCTGGGAACTGGCAGTCTGTTGTGAAAAGTCTAATCAAGTGTTTATTATCTGCTGGATTCTTCATATTATGACTCAGCACAGTGTCTGGCATGTAGTAGCCACTCAAATATTTGTTGTGTGAATGAATGTTGATAAGTCATAGTTTACATTGGCTTTATTCTATATTTGGATGTTTGACTAACCTAAAGCTTTTTCCTGGGTATCTTTTTTTTTTTTTTCTTTCACATTATATCATTAATTGACAAGTCCAAAATCTTGATCTTTCAGCAAAAGAACAGTCTGTAGTAATAGTCCGGTCGCTATTGTATAGTATTCGGTTTTGATAGGTCCCAGAGTGTCCCGTAGACAGCATCAGCAATGGAGGAAATAGTTCAGCAGTCCGTGGTCGCCAGTCTCAGGAATCTGCGAGGACTTCTTGACGCTTTGGAGAGCTTCAGTAAGCAGAACAGGGTCAAGTCACGCATCAGCTTCCCTCCTTTCTTCTGGGCCTTGCTGGCTGAAGAGGAATCCACTTCTCTCCTTTGCCTCAGCCCCGCTTGGTGGTCCACACAGAGATGGGAGTCCGGAGGGCAGGAGAGAGGGGGAGGGGAAGGAGGGCAGGAGCATAGGGAATAGGGGAGAGAGGACCAGAGAGGAGAGGGAGCAGACAGAGGCCAAGAGGGTCCCCTTACTTTTCTTAAGAGATAAGTAACTAAAAGTTTTAGTGTGACAGTTTTATACCTTGAAACTGAATTATGAGATATATTTAAAGTTTAGTTGGAAGTTACTCATTTATGAGTTACATCATAGTCCAATACGACGTAAGTAGCTACATGACAAATAACTTGCTAAGTGTGTGTTCTGAGCATACCGTGTCATGAAACCAGTCATTTAGTCTTGGTCGTTGGTAATCATGAATGGGATGTGTGTGATGGAAATAAGGATGGAGCCCCTGCGACTTTCCTTTCTTTTTGGTTATAAATGTTCTCTTTTGTTGTTGAAAAACTGGGAAAGTCAGACTTAAAGAAAACAAGAATTTTCTGTAAGTCAGAGAAATTATTTTATTATATAACATTGTTTCATTGTAGATTTTTCTTCATCTGTATTTGTCTATATTTTGCTTTTTTGATCACAAGATAATTGGGATCATTTGTGTGTGTATAGATATAAAGTCTTCTTTTCCACTCAACACTGAAAACATTTTTCTATATCATTAAAAATTCTTTAAAAACATGTTAATTTTACAAAATCATAATTTGTTAAACTATTTCTTTGTTGTTAGGTAGAAAGATATTTAGCGGTGATGACTTACTCCTAATCTTTGCCCTCTTCTTCCTTGATGACAAAATCCTTTCATTTTTAGAACAGTGGGTCTGGGGGTGAGGGAGACATTTTGATCTCAGGAAGGGAAGGCGCTGACCCAGGCCTATCCTGATTGGTTAGAACTAGCCAAGGACTCCCTGGTCTGTTACCAGGAATATTCCCAGGGTAAACACGGGATCCTGTTTTGCCCAATAACATGTAACAAGAAATCTCCCAAGTGTTTTCTTTGTTTAAACATTTTTCTTTCCAGATGAAGAGGTCTTGGACTCCCTTTACCACATGCCAATCAAATGTGGTTGTTTGGTTTTGTTATCATGAGGAAGTGATGTAACTACAGTTGGAAAGCAGATTAACTCTGACTCAGATCAAAGAGCAGAGAGTCTGGTTTTATGGTGACAGTGTTGAACTGGCACACCACATCACTTATTTCCAGACTTCTTCCTTTGTGAGGAAGTTAAATGACTTAAAAGCTTAGGCATGATTAATCAGATACTGTTTCACATGTGCCCTATGCGGTACAAGGCTGTTTTCCAATTATTTTCCATCTGCATATTGCTTTCAATATATTTTTCCTATACTTATTTGATATTTCCATATTTCCATAGATCGGATTCTAATAAAGTTACTAGAATAAGTAGTATGTTATCAACATTCTTAAGACTTTTTTTATATAATGCCAAATTGTTTCAGCACACTTTATTTTCTTCTTTAAATCTATAATCATTTTTCTTTCGTTGCGCCTATAGAAGTCCTGGTGGTATAATGGTTACACATTTGGCTGCTAACTGAGAGGTCAGCAGTTTGAAATCACCAACCACTCCTTGGGAGAAAGACGAGGCTTTATCCTTCTGTGAAGAGTGGGCCTCCAGGAGGTAGATGGAGGGACACTGTGGGGCATGGTTACAGCGTGAGGACAGGGCAGTGTTTCCTTCTGTGGTACATAAAGTCACTGTGGCGTAGACCCCAACAACAAAGAGTTACTGTCTCAGCAACCTACCGGGACAGTTCTACCCTGCCCCACAGGGGCACCAGGGGTCAAAATGGAGTAAATAGCAGTGAAGCAGTGAGCTTGGTTTTTTGAGTGTGAGTCTATATAAATTAATCAATATGTGATAAGGTTTTTCTCCCCTAACCCCCCCCCCCCGAGAAAGCCTTAATCTTTCTTGAAGCAATTTTGACTTTGATTAGCATACCAGGACTGATCCAAATGTCACTGGTAAAATAGAACCCTAACATTTCACTGTACTTTGAACATTTTCATGTTCTTTTTCACTCTGACCTGTTAGAAAGTGCTTCCTCTGTGCTAGGAGAAGTTGTGTTTAGTTTCCTTTAATTGATTTTGTGAGAAGAGAAGACACGAAAGAGGATATTTTCAGTGCAGGATGAGTTCTTCACTAAAGAGCCACAAAGAGGAAATGTTTTCAAATGACCAGGTGCTATAAATGAACAGTTGTTGACATGGAGAAATATTTATGGAATTGAGTAAAAATTTTGTTCAAATGGATGTAAAGAAATAATTGCATATCTTAACAGCTTTGGATTATCATGATCTTTTAATTGAATGGAACACAAAATTGAATGGA